TGTGTGTGTGGGGGCAAATTGAGCGCCGCGAACACTGTAGGGGGGTCCGGGGGCAATGCTCCCCCGGGAAAATTTTGAAATTCAGAGCCTCTGAAACGCCATTTCGTGCATTTCGGGGTGAAATTTTACAAAATTCAGAAGAAGATTATATAACATCATAATTCGGTCAAGAATGCCTGCGTCTTCAGTTATTAGATTGCGAATAATAAGCTGGACATGAAATCGGATCAGTGTTACCCCCTTCCCCAGTTTCTCAAGGTTGTTCTGGAGGAGATTGGGGGGGGGGGAGACTCCCCCCCCCCGTGGCTACGGCACCGGGCGCATGCTCTGACAAGTACACCACCGATGCTCCTTCATACTATTTCCAACTAGGATGTGTCAAAATGTAATGGTTTGAGGGTGCACAGTGGAACCTCTTCCACAAATATACGTTCGCTATTAGGATTATCATGTATAACAAAATGTACAGTAAAATATGTATAGAACTTAATTTAACCAAGATTTTCGCTGGTTTCACTGGAATTAGTGCAGGATTCTGTATTAAGCTTCCTATGTACCAGTAATTGTGTGATATGGAAATTAATAAATAGTTGATTGTTAATTGTCTCATTACTGAACGAATGCATACATCAGTTACATAACCAGACATCATTATTTAAAACTCATAAAACGCACGAGGGTGCCACTCGCAGGCATCTTTTGAATTTATGCGGGCACATTTGAAACTCTCACTAAAATCCAAACATTTTAACAATATTCAATTTAACTAAGATCAATATAAAATTCTGAAGTTATGAATTTTGCTCGCAGGTGTACTAAATAATATTAATGCACGAGTCCTGCACATAACTCCCTGTAAAGTAACAATTTACACCCCCACGCATGTAGGAGGCTTAGCGGAGCTTTCATGTCTAAATTGGCTAAATTGAACTCTTGATCAAATAACTCATTTCAAATCTCAGCCACTTGACTACAGGAACACAACGTGAAAGACAAGCTTTAATACTATAATAACTAAGAAATACCCCGCAGTCTATTTTTGTTCATACAACTAAATTTAGCGTTCGTAGTGTATTGAAACCATGGCAATAATATTGGTTAGCTTGGGTACAAACAAAACTAGCATTTCCATACAGTGATATCAGTTTGACTACCTGCCATTCTTTGATTACATTGAATACACAGCCTGAATTGGCTTTTGTCCTCTGAGAACAATATACAACGAGAACACATCCGTTATATAGTTTCACTAATTTGAGGTTGAGCCAAATTAATTTTTAGCCCTGACAAAGCTGGCTAAACTCAACGGTGACTATTCTCAGTTTGCACATGATGTCATCACGTGCCACTGGGCGCCATCTTGGTGGATTCTAAAGTGTTCCTCAATCGTTGCAGTGAAGTTAATTTACTATTTCCTGACTTGTTTTACAAGCAGTTAACTATATTAAACATAGTCGTGAAACCTGTATGGCTGGGTACGGTCAGCAATAGAGTCACGAACGGTCCGTGCCAGCGTAGTAACACTGTAACAGAAACACCAGAAAGCTGAGGATTGAGACGGAGTTCAACTAAATGAAAAATACAAGGAAAACTATGTGTTTTGAAAATCAACCAAGATGGCGTCGATTGCAACTATCACCAAAAGAGAATGATGAGCTGTACAAGCCTGCATTATGTATAAGACCCTACAATAGATTCTTTAACACCAAAAGTCTCAATATTCTAATATGAGTTAGATATCAACTCAATACTGTTCTGCTATATATAAATGAGAGGTCGATAAAGTGCCTGGGCATATATATCATATATATCATGCCTCAAGTGCATGGGCATATATATCACATATAGTCATAGATGGAATTATAACTTATATGATAGAATTAACTAAACTTACTTAAAGTAATAAAGAGACATATGTTTCCCCAATATTGAAGTTTGAATTATTCCAATTCAGTTATGTATTGAATAATAAATGAGAAGTTCATAAATAAGTGCATTTTCATAATTTATATGCAATTATACAACTGATATGATTAATCTAAAACCTATAATGAACTATATAAAACACACCAACCTAAAATGAGTATGTTTTCTGCATAGTTGCTTAAAGAAAAGGATTATTTTTTATACTGGTCTTCTTATTCTAGAGGCTTACACCTGTGCTTGTCCAAATACCTATTTTATACAAAAATAGTGTTTCAACCAATCATAGAGCCTGGTTGGTGGCGAGCCCCAAAACTGAATGCATACATCCACAATAAACATAATGATCATTGATAAATATTATAGAGGCCATACAAGAAATGTCAAATGTGTTACAGTTATTATATGTAGATTCGCTATGTACTCCTGCACTTAAGTGATAATAGCCCCAGACTACTGTCTCTACTCAATTGCGATCAAGTACAAAATGTTCTTTATAAATGTACTAATAATCACTTGAAACCAGTCAACACTTAAATTAAATAGATCTATATTTCTGCATAACATGCACTAGTCACGCAAAGTTCAAGGACAATCCACATTGAAATTTAATATATGCAGAGTGTGGTTTCAAAAATGCGCGAGCTAATATATACACAGCTTGTGCACAGTCTCATGACAAACGATGTTTTGAACAATGCGTGCATGCTAATATATTCATTGATTTAATCTTTAAACCTAAATGAAAATTTTGCTTGACCATGGTGGGAATCGAACCCGCGGTCAAACAAACCTTTCAGTTTTGCCAGTGCACGTGGCCACACTCATTATCTCAAATAATTAGGTGTGCCCTACAGCTATTGTCTGTACATGTATTGTATGGAAAATAAAGAACACATACCAGGACAATAAACACTGCAAGCGTTCTGGAATAACTGCACGCAACACGCAATAAGCTGCAGCAGGGGAGGATCAGCAAGCGTCACTGGCCAGCAGATGGTGATCAACTTCTCCATCACTGCAAAAAATCCCCGAGTATTTTGCCTCAAAAAACATACACCCACAATGGATCAAAATTTTGAGGAAAGGTACGTTTACACCCTGCGATTTGTCATGTGCGATTCGTTTTCTTTACTGCTGACGACACATTCCATTTTATAGTTTATGGGGAAATTCGAAATGCAACCGTTTTACCCGGCGTGCTTATTCGATTACATACGCCCGCAATACGAATCGTACACGACAATTCGCAGCGTGCAAACGTGCCTTAGAAGCATTCAAATTTATGACCAAATTGACTTAAGCTTACTTAACTTTACTTAAAAAAATTGAGTAAATTTGCTTATAAATTTGAGCAATTATGACTAGTGACTGTGAGTGCATTAGTTATGTTTGCAGTGCAGAGGAAATGAAGTAAATGGCAGTATCTTTCAATCGTACAATACTCCACTAATGGCACTATAATGAAAATAATTAATATATTATTTTCTCGTTCTGATAACTGCAGGTTGGCCTGATGATCTGCCGTACCGCTCCTTAATTATTTTTCTGCAACGTGGCATTTTTAAGATGTAGAACGTGTGAGAACATTTATTCATCGTGTGTGTCACAATTATAGATGCTTTTATGTGATGTTATCAGCTAGTGGAAAAAATTATACACATTAGCAATCAGACAATGCCGGCTTCAAACAATATCTATAACATACAGCCATGCATGGTGAATTGGTTCTTAAAAGTATTGATTTGGTTAATTTGGGCTTTTCTGGTAGATCATAGTTTATGCATAAGAAGAATTTCGTGGTTGTATAAGGACAGTATATCTCAGTTGGAGAAAGTATCAGAAGAGAAAGATCTTCATTATGCTGTAGCCAGGCGTGAAACCAAAACTGAAGATTATTCATCTTCGTTGGAACTAGGATGAGACTGGATTAGATCAGTTCTGTTCCTATAGGTGGAGTAAGGTCCATCCCTTGTACCTGTATTGTGCTGGCCGCCATGCTCATTCCCTCTTCTTGTTAACCAATTTACGTATATATATATTCATACAAAAACATAATGAGTACAATAGCGTCACAGGCTTGGTCGATATAGTACACTGACCTCGACACAAACCTCCCCAAAGATATGGGGAAGCAATTTATTACAACAATCAGTATAGAAAAGATTAGAAAGTGGGAAACTTAGAGCGGTTTCCATTATCACCAAATAAATGGAGTACAACTGGTCTGATGAGAAAGTTTGGATGAAATCAAAAGGAGGTCCATTTTGGCCAGGTTTTTGAAAGAGACAGAAATCCTGGTACCAGACTGCATGCTCATTGAATCGAAAGCGCCCTCATTTAAGATATAAGAGCTCTGCACGTAATGTGTTTTTGTATCTATTTACACAAGACCTCAATTGAATAATTTTTCCTATTCTAATTAATTAATGTATATAAATTTGCGTTCAAATGAATCTATACAAAAACCCACATCTACTATACCCAGCATGCAGGAAACTGTACACTTGTACAATGACTCAAAATTACATTTGATTGACTATAATGATATTGAACTTCTTGTCGTGGCGCCGTCTCTCTCAAGGTCGAGTAACAATCTTTAATTTGAATATGGAAACTTTTGTGGCAAACCATTGTCTACATGTCATTGGACACTGATCAAATCTTTAAGAGGTTTTTTTGTGTACACGAGTACTTTCATTCATACTTTATGCACTTTGATGAAACACATTTTGACCGCGTAAACTAGGCTTGCAGGCTTAAGATAAGTTTTCAAATTGATCTGCATTCTCAGGGCCAGGGGGCTGAAGTAACGTCATATATTCGTGTATGTTTGCACAGCATGAATTATTTGAATTTGAAAAGCGTTGTTAGACCTCCCCACAGCTTTGCATACAATATTCAAACAGCTCTCTTGAATCGAGTAAACACTGTTGTTTTTGTTGAACTTTGCCAACTGCAGTTTTGTGTACAGGGGATCTATACTTTCACATGACAGTGTAATTTCAGAAAGCTTATGTGTCTTCTTCAGCAAGCAACGAGTATTATATGAACTACTGGGTATTTTTACAAATAAAAATCTACCGGGCTAACTCCGAAAATAAACATTTTTAATATCCACTTTTCGACCATAGTAAGTCAATCAATAAAATAAGTAAGATTTTACACGAATAAACAAACATTAAAAACATGAATAAATAAATAACGAATGTGAATACGTATGAGAGATACTAATGACAAGACAAGACCAATATACATGTCTGCACGTTATAACTTTCTAGAGTATATTCATGTTAGATATAACCAAGGCTTATTGCTGTTATCGGTACAATTTTTGCCAAAAAATCCATTACATAAAATGGAGGAAATTGTAACACGAATCATGCTGCTAACAAACGTCAAAGTAATGACGGGAACAACAGATGTGAGATGGGATGACGTTAGTGTTACAATGTATAGCCTCACATGATAAGGGTAAGAAGTGGGCTCAAAGTGGCCAATTACCGCTCAACGTTGTTATTGTATGTTTGCGGAATACGATGGGCAAACATGACGTGCGATCAGTAACCTTGGCCTTCAACACTTCATACATATCTATTGTTTCGAGAGTGATTGGCCCGAACAACATCCGTTGTTTTGACAAAATTTCATTCACGCTCGTGTAAACCTACTGGGCTTTTCCAGAATAACTTGTTGTGCCTCACAGTTACATACACGCAAACAAGTCGAGACGTAGGACGATCATCACGAAAGTACAAAAATTACCAAATACGATCAGCTAAGATCAATCGATCATCGCAGTAATGTGTACAAGGGTTTTTAGTAACGGATACAGGCCAAGTTCTCTGAAGGTTGAAAAGCAACAAGGTAGGCAAAGATTGAAGTGAATATTATATTGTATTCGTGTTTACTGATGCCTCGCAAAAATTGAGGAAATCGTATTAATTAAATTGCTTTTCAAAAAACGTAAAATAACAAATAATATTTACAAGTCTTCGTAACAAATGCAGAGTCATAATCTGGGTCATAGTTCAAGGCATCGCTATATTCATATTCTGGGTAATCTGAAACGTGCAAGGCATCACTATATTAATTCTGGTTAATCTGAAACGTGCATGCACATTGCACAGTGTGGTTCATTACGAAAATGCCAATTATATCTTAGACTTACTATGGGAGTTGAATTATTAGTTGCAACTGCAAGTTCTACCATGCAGGATGGTACGACAGTATATACTAGAAATTTTTCTCAAAATCCTTTATACCACGATTCCATGAAAATAGTTTAAAACTCATAGTTGGGGATAGTATGCAAGTCCGGTAACTTGTAATTGCTATATTATGGATATAGATGATCGAAATAGTGTGAATATACTAACGGATTTAATGAAATAATTTCTAAATACGATTCCCACAGTATGGATTTGATTAATTTTCCAGTGTATTCCAATGTTCGATTAAAAAATGTCTATTCCTAAAATTAGCTCCAATTATATACTGCCAGAATTTATATGGGAATAAGGTCGTGTCGCATAACATTGTTTTATGATTTAATTATTTTAATAGGTATGTCTAAGTGCCACAATGCCATTCAAATATCGGCAATATACAAACAAAATGTTATGACAATTAATCAGGAATGTTCGGAAACACTTTAACATGAAAGTATTTTTAAAACACAAAGAGTGAATTTATAGCACAGATTATGACTGGGCTATTCATATTTCGAACAAAAATTTTGACGATCTTTTCCAGTTCGAACTAGAACTTCGTGTTTTTCTATTCGTGTGATGGGTACTTCGAGAATATTACAGTTGTTAACTGTCAATTAAAATTAAGATCACTGGTATTATATTTGCATTAATTACTTAGAGAGGGCGTTGCCGCGTCATAGAATAATTGTAAGCGAGATCCAGCTCTTTTAACGTTCGGTAATTCTTGCCTTAAGACAGAAATATGCTCTGAACTCTATAACCTCATGCCAAAGAGAGTAATTTCACACAAACGTTTGTAGCGAATATTTCTTTCATGTGGTTGAATTTTGCCGTGTTTGTACAAAGATGTTCCTGTTTGGCATGGGCCCATCTCGCTGTCATGCCGCGGTTGAAAAAGAAATTCCAAAATGTTGGTTAATATAAAGCATGTGCTGTCATTACAATGTAATATTATTTGACAGATATTATAATGAACCAGTAAATAGATTTGTCAAATGACAATGTTATGTCAGCTCTAACTAAGCTTCTATAGTTAAACTGTATTTTATTATGTAGAAAAATGAACCAAAGCTGATCATTGTATATTGATTAATTATTATTATAGAACTCGTGATCATGACTCGACATTATAAAATTTAATTTAATCGATGATATTATTGCATTCTTCATTCTCGTATTTTCCCACAGATTACATTTCGTGACTGCAGCGTATGCAAATGAATACGCTCTCAAAACAATCTCATCAAATTTGGCAAACACGAACAATGATATTTGTATCAGAAATTCTTTCTCTTGAGAACCACAGTTCTTCGCGAAACTTTTGACCAATAAGGAATTGCTCTGGTGTGTTAATTTGTTCTAATGACTGTGTTCTAATTAATCGCTATGACGTCGGACATATTTGGGTGAAATGGTGTTTATACAGGCTGGTGTTTATATGAATTCGTACGTAAGCGAGGTCAACCACGATTTCCGCTGTACCTCGCAGAACGTACCTTTAGTTGTAAACACTTATGTCAGAATATTTTTAAAACATTTTTACATATTTTATGTATGGACTGGAAGCAGAGAAATAAAAAATGTATAATTAGTTAAAGAGTTTTATAGAACATACTGTTTCAACTTGAGTTATGATGTCATATTACGTAAATACAATAAATTCCTACGGAAGGTTGTGATTGTAACTCGATACCTTCGATAATCTTATTAGTTCATAGCAACCGTAAATAAAAATAAACACATGTGCAACTTACTATCACAACCACTGTGTAATGTGACTTTATTTGTTCCCACGATTTCAAAGTCAAAAGTATATCAAGCATAAAGTCACAATGATGACATGTAGATAAGTCAATACACTTCTAAAGGTCTCTATCATTTACGTTAGAAGTCACCTGGACAAAATCTGTACGAGCAGAACTGCATTTTATTAAATGATTAAAGTTTTGCGCGTACGAGGGTCAAAATCAAATCTAAAGTGCAGGTCAAATTTTAAGCGTGGTTGTGTGTGGGTTCGCTTATAATCTAAAGTTTGCTAGCAACGATGCGTGACGGTATTAAACACGCGTGCAGAATTGCAGGGAGTGTACAGTTACGGCACAGTACGACAGTAAGGTTTTAATTCAGCAGTAAAGCTCACAAGTACATGCCAGTTAGCAACAGAGCTTTCTAGTACAAACATTGACATTGACATTACTACACAAGCTCGCCCCGATGATCAATCTGCACTACAGAGTGCTACGACTCGCTCGTAAGATAACCGGATAGCATTTTTTAACTTTCGTAAAATGCGTCAAAAGCTGTGAAATGGCGGATATGGAACGTACACAATATTTTTTTACAAAATAATTTATAAATACCACACTAAATTGCTATCTGGCTTTGGTATACCACCTGAAATTTACGATAACACGAGTGCTTTAAATGCACGTCACAAAATATAGACATAGAAGGGAAGACAGGCATCATTAATCCTGGCAGGATAGAGTATATTAAAGACTGTATATAGGGAATGTCCCGGCACTACACACAGTATACGTAGGTATCTGAGGAAATACTTGGGAACCAACAGGAAATGTTAAACTGACAAGCACGAAAGCAAGAAATGTTCTAAATTTCTTAATTGCTACATACATATAGTAACATTTTTGTCATCAAAGATAACAATAGATGAAACAAAATTACAATGGCCATGGTTTGGCAAAGAGTCGTGAATATCCAAGGACCTATATTGGGTGCATCAGTGCATGAATATTTTAGGTCGATCACTATGTGTCTGCTTCCACGAAAACTAAATCGCTCATTTTGCTTTTCTCTTATTTTAAATCATATATCTTTTCACAGTTTGTATAACTAGTTAACCAGGAAACTACTATAACATATATCTCAATTCTAACATATAAATTGCATGTTTAATTAACCAGTTATTGCTTGTAGCAAAGTTGTAGCAATCTTTTTAAAGACTAATCTTAATTATAATTGTAGATAAATGAGTCTGTTTTCGAATCAGTGTTGAAGAACGAATACAATAAAATTACACTAAAGACAGTATTGTAACAAGCATAAAACAATTGAAACATGTGTTGCGACATATGGACGCTCTACACACTCGCCTACATGGTAATTAGGAAATCAGAATCGCATTCCTTGGTTTGTTTGTGCTAATCCGCTTTATTCTAATTAATTATCTCAAGTATTGTTGCATTTTTGTATGATATACGTCAATGAGCTAGCTTCAGAGTAACATGTCATCAGAACAATATTATTTGTGGGAAATTTCAAGGTTTTAATGAATTATGACCGACTTGGGTTGGGTAAATATACTCAACAATATTCCAAATAAAGCAATCTGCTATTGTCCTGCGGTTAGATTTCGTATTTGTTCCCAGCGAATAACAATTATCGGGAATGTAATAGGGGAAATTGTCATTCTAAAGTGTTCCGCTTTTCTTGTTGTTTGTACATACCGCATAAACTCGTGATACGCCAACACCCTGTCACCCACGCATTCAAAGAAATGCTGACTACAAGACCTTGCTCCATAGTAAGGTCATACAGACACTAGCCACAGAGCGAGTTACAACCAAGACGTGCCATAAAACTCGTTGTACGTACAACCAACGAGCAGCTCTGTGTTATACACATAGAACATTGAATCTACAAGATATCAAGGGATTACTGTTAGTGATTTATACTATATTGTTGATAGAACTACACGCAAATTATGAAATCCGAAGTGTTATTATTAAATAATAAAGGTAAGTTGGTTTCAGCGAGTTGAAGACAGTTTAAAGTCCAATCGTGTTCCGACGATGTTATTCCGGTTCACGAGATGTAGTTTAGATATAAGTTTATCGTCTATTCTGTGTATTCTATATCTTGAAATGAAATACATGTATGGTTCGATCCAGAAGGGTAAATTATTTCAAACTATTTCAGGATGCAAAATATGGGAATTTAAGCATTTCTAGTTGAGTTCAATCATATTTGAACACATACTAAAATCGGTAACAGGATGTAAAATTTAGGCATTTAGGCAGACGTTAAGTAACCATGAAATTTAATAAAGTTGAAGTTCGTTTGTCAATCATAACTTCGTGTGAAAATTCACAGGGGTCGGCTCACGGATTTCACCACCTTGACGAAAATAGTTTATATAAAGATATAAATGAACTTTCACCGTTTCACGAATAAGTAAATATTTTGCTATGAGTTTAGAGAAATGACAAGCTCCAATAATTCTGTAAGACTCTTTTAGACGTTTTCTACTCAGCCTGCTTAACACAGAAGCTACTTATAGTTAGTGAGTGCCATTGAGTCACTGACGTATGTAGACTGTTCGACTATAATTTGTGCTCATCTAGTGATGTTGTATAAATGATGTTTACGGACTTTACGCAAAGACTCGCGGCTCGCTCGTGATGGTTCGGGAATGTTCGTCCTTAAACTTCGAGAGTCGACCAGATGCGACGCGAACGCGACAGTGCACGGCGAATTACGACAGAATACTTCGTGAAGACAAACATGTTGTAATTATGCATGTGATTATTACCGCACGTTATAAATGCGCGTGTGATCATTGCGTGTATCTTCAATCGGGTAACGAGACGCCACTTGACCATGTAATACGAATCGTAATGTAACATTAGTTGATTCGGTGTATACAGGTATATAAACATTGAAGGTCGCACTTCAGACAGCATTGTTTACAGCTGATCTATTATTGTCTACAAGCGATAAGCCTACAAATTACTAGCGAAAACCTTTGCATAAGTTTTACAGGGACCGGCTCAAAAAGGTATTTAATGCTACATCTATTGAATAGTAATTGTCATATAACATATTATATTCTTTTAAATGACAAGTCTAGTGTCTTGTAATTTTCGACTACCAGTAATCGTATTTTAGATGTATCTAAAGGTCTCAAGGAGAACGATAGCTTGTAGCTGTAGAAATTAATGTTGATTTTTAAACAATATTTGCGTGCGCGCAAGCAAGTAATATCATAACTTCTTCCATCATCAACAATTGGCGCGTTTTAATTGACGAAGTTCTGTTGCTGTCTACATGTAGCAGAATACTTTACTATGGTAAGGATGAAGCCTTGCGCAAATGTTAGTTTTGTACTGTAGACACAAAATTGTACCACACCACTTATATAGTGTACACAGTGTACACAGTGTCATGTACATTGCAGCTTTGAGAATTGCCTTACACTGTGAAGCGACGCATTGTCCTAGATCATTACAATATAAACAAATAGCGACTAGCCTATATATTTGCGCAGATATTTACAAATGTATATCGAGTGTAGACGGAAAAAGTCTAAATGCATAATGTAATACGTGTGAGGTTAATTTTAACGAATACACATTGTCACTTTTAATACTTGGAAAATAATAAAACACTCATAAAGACATCTAAAGTTTAGTTGTTTTTCAACAAAGTGAAAATGAATGTTTTCAACAAGAAACATACACAGAGGAAGTTTAAACTAGAAGTACCCACGTGCAATATAAGCGCGAGACAATTCACACTTCCGTCCTTGTCACTGTTCCTTTAAGGAAGGAAAATTATGTTCCATGCTACACGCGATTGATGCGTTTCGCATATATATACATTATATACATTATAAATGAAGAACTGAACGAAAACATAGACAAAGTGTTAATACATGATTTTTTATATTTCAGGCGCAAATATTAAAGCTATTTGACATCGGTTTCGTCAAAGCACGACTCGACCTTGACACTTTGATTTCTAACGTCAATGTCTCGAGTGCATTTTCCGCATTTTCAACATTTTATGCATTTTAACTGATCATAAGCACGTTTAACGGCAATTAAAAAATATATCGTATTTTTAATTGAGCGATACATTTACGAATTTTGTAATACTGCTTTGGTCGATAGGAATAGAAACGGTTATCCCTCGGCAACAGTTCGCAAACTATATTCAGTATGAATGTTCCCTAATTAGCATTTAAGTCTTATTAGTTTAATTGTATTGGACGATTAACGCACACATTACGTAACAAGACACTTACTAATGTGTCAAAAACCAACGAACTTCTACGTGTGGCAAATTATGAGGCAAATTGTATTTGAAGTGAACTAAGTTGAACTTCTATGTACGTTCAATTTAGTTTACTTTAATTACAACTTCCCGGGAACATATACCACGTGTTTAACTATATATAGCCATACGTCTTTGCGGATAAGATTGCTACTTTCTAGTTAGATTGAAGTTAATTCAGTTTAGTTTTCAGTTATCAAGTTACTTTTTCGTTTCAGTTCTAGTTTTAGCTAATTGATAAGAAAGGAAATTACATCTTTTTTTTAAGATGCTTAAATTAGTTTCTTAAGCATCCGTTGACGCTATAACGAAATTACAATGACGAAGTTCTTTGTTCTATTTCCTGGAAAAAAAACAGTTAGACTGGAATAATTAAGGACCCTTTCGACCCTTTGAGATCAATCCAATTCTTCATAGTTTAGGGATGACAACTGTGGTGAATATTATTATCAATGAACTGTACATTCCAGGAATAGAACTCTGATAAAAGGTGAAATGTGCCTATGGTATAGAACCTGTTTGAGTAAGAATAAAACCTAAAGTTTACACTCTTATTATTTCAGAAAATAAAGCAACTTTGAACGAGAACATGGCAGGAGTACGAGAATATATCTGCCTTCATTTTGGCTCTGAAGAAGCTCGCACAACAATGGCAGAGTTGGAAAAATGGAGTCAAGACAAGGATCCTCAACCTTGTTACATTAACATCCTTCGTCGTCTTTTCCCGGACATTAAACCCAAAGTGCTACAGCTCTTGTTAGCAGCGTGTGATAGTGACCTAATAAAGACTGTTGAGACAATACTACCATGTTGTAAAAAGATGAAAACGAACGGACAAATAACATACATGAAAGCAACATCACCACCAACCAAACTGATGATGTTATCAAGAGCACACAAATTCCCAACGCGATTAATGGACAAACGGGACATGCTAAGGTACACGCCTTATCCAATGGATAGAACTTTTGGACGGTTCCCTAGTATATTTGTACCACCGTATGCCCACGCACCCGTACCAACCAATGATAACTGTGGGTTATGCATACCCAGCTTTGTTCCACCTTACTATATCTCCAAGGGTTCACCCGATGATGTCTTATCGAGAAGCCGAACCGGGTTCCCATATTACACGACACCCAAGTATAACTTTGCTGAATGTAAAACAGTTACATCACAACCTAAAGTGGAACTTGACGACACTCGAACATCAGTGGCCGCAACACTCATTTCGCTGAGCAACTCTTAAATACTCAAACCTTCTCGCCATTTTACTCTGTCATAGTTTCTTGACCAAAGTATGCTTTGATGAATGTGTCAAGTGAACTTCGTTCAAAACTTGACTACACTATCAATAAAAGTTTCTTTCACCAAAGTATATTTTTTAATCAAAGTGTGTGTCAGTATAAACATCTGTCAAAGACACAATTTTAAGTCTTTGTGTTAAAGTCATTTTGACAAAATTTGTATGACTGAATATTTCCTTGAGAAACATGTATAATCAAACTACTGAATCACATTAGTCAAAGCACACTTTGTTCAAAGCAACATTAACTGAGTGAATCAGCCTTAAGACTTTAACTTGAACAATTCTGAGCTGGCCGGAGCCTCTTTGAATTGCTCTGTACCACAACAAGTTGTCCCAGACCTCTCTGAGGTTCCTGTGCCTTTTTAAGCATCTCAAATGAACTTAAAGAAACAACAAACATTTCAAACAATCAACATACATTCACAAATTATCATAGAAAAGAGAAACTCTTTAGATTATGTATATTCTAGACAACTGCATTAGTATGCAGGTAATTTATTATAGATTAAGATAATTTTGTACCATGCAGGCCAATACTGCATGTAAATATTACACAATTGTAAAACATTGATGTATTGAACTCTCAAAAGAAGGAACATTATAATTCTACAAATCAAACCACTCATTCTTTCTCAATCTGTCAATAAACAAAATGCATATTTTCCAGAATTTTCCAATGCACACTTATTCAGTATATTCTGACATTATCCTAATATTAATGCAACCTTATAAGGCCACATTAAACAATTTGTGGGGTTATATTGTTACAGATTTTGGAGAGTTCAAACAATAGATTTTTGGCCTTAAAAGGCATTTGCATTACTTTGTAAAAAAAGCAGCTACTGTGATGCAATCATACATATAACCTATAAAGGTAGTTCCAGTATGTTGTAGATCTATTTAAAAAAGGTCATCAATTTAAAATTCTGCTATGTGTGTTCTTAAAAGTACAAACATCATTTATTTGTAACATGAAACCCAAAGGACAAATAAATGGATGAATTTTATAATTGGTTGTTCACTTTTATAAAATGGTCTACAACTATACCATGTGTTTTGACTTAGTGTGTACTTCAAACTCATGTTTTATTAAGGAACATAAATTTATGACAAAATGTAATATGTTTAGATATAAATCTGCATATTTTTCATAGATTTTTATTTTTAAAATGTGATTGTTAGAAGTACACCCTTAAAACTTTGCTTGGTTAACTTAGGATTTGCAAAATATATTTGCAAAACAGCCATGTTGCACTTAGTTGTAATTTTATGTACATTGGTTAGGGAATATTTATACGTCAAAGCTGAATTTTGTAATTTAAGACAATCAATAATAAAGTGTTTTAGTTAAAACTGTGTTGTTTTGTGTGTATCACATTCATTTAGTTGGTAATTAGCAACCAATATTGAACGTATGTCGTTTATGGAACATTTTCACACATACAAATGCATAAGAATCTAATATTTGAGATGTGGATAATCCATCTGAAAAGTGAAAAGCCAGAGCAGCCAAGCAGGTGGGTGCAGTCTGTACTGCAAAGTTGGTCAACATTGCACTCAGTATTTTTTAAGGTAGAAATTTTATAAAGTACATATAAAGTATACCCCCGGCACACCTGCAATGTACTTTAAATATAACAATTTTGGCTGTTTAATCTGCCCTCAAATCTCTCAATTTCATTGTTTTTAACATATGTGTGGCTATTTTTGTGCCCTTGCCTGCCTCTAAATGTGCACTAGGGAACACCTACACTGAAAGCAACTCTGCAAGACTGAGAAGTGTTATTTTGTGCACAGGAAATATTTTGAACAGAAATGTCAGATATTTCACAGAAAATGTATGTAAAGGGATCCAGCCCAGACTGCAGAGTTGGGCACGTTTCAACGAGATCTCTGGTGCACAAAATATGTTAGAAAATCGAAGTGGGGGTGCACAAAACAGTTCCCAAGTGCGCATCAAGATGCAGTGAAGGGCACAAAAGTAGCAAGATACATGTTAAAAACAATGAAAAAGAGAGATTTGAGGGCAGATTAAATTGCAAAAATTCATCCCAGGTGTGCTGAAATTTCTGCCTAAAAAAATATCGAGTGCGACATTGATCCAGCAGGTTACAACTTGCAAAATTTTGCATAGATTTCTATATAGTTGCAAGAAAATGTTTGCACAAGAAAATAATTTCCTCCAAAGCCAAAAATTTACAGTCTGGAAACTCTGCAGTCAGCTGCATATTTCCAAGTGTGGACAATATGAACATTTTTGGATGGAGATGGGTGGATTTGCTATAGATTGCATGGGTGTTGTCCACCTACGATATTTCATGCAATGGCCGATGGCTCTTTGTCGGCCCTTTGAAAGCAACATAGTGCATGACAAATCTATATTATACCATTTTATATACAGACTACTAGAAAGTTTCAACTACAAAGAATCGCAACAAAAATAGACCCCAAGGTTAAAGAAATATCTTTTGTAAACACAGCACAAGAAAATGCTTTATTTTTTATGGACACATTCAGAAATTTCCCACAGATTTTATATTTTTATTCATTCTAAAAACACGTGGTCAACTGGTCGTCTTGTCAAACTATTTTTCAAAAATTCCTTATAGACCACTACTAGCATATGTTACCTTTATATATTTTGTAATTCGCTTCTTCTTCCTATGATATTTTCCACACTGGAAACGCGGACATTTTTGAGAAAAAAAAAATTGAGTAAAAATAAGACAAAATAGGCGAACTTCTTTAAAATTTTCCGCCATCTTGTCGAATTACTTCGAGACTTCATTTAAGCCAATGTGAAATGTCTCATGTTTAGTGATGGGCGATACCAGGATTTTTAATTCGATACCGATACCGATACTTTTAAGATCGGTATCGGTCGATACCGATACCTATTTCGATACCAAAATAAACACAAAATTCCAATTTTCGATACCGGAAGTGAGTACTTAAATTGCTAGTATCGGCTACTTTCGATACCTGCCGGTCAGCGGAAAAACATTTTGCATTACTGCCATGTAACCTAAATAAAGCCATAAGTAAAACAAAAGCCCTAAACGTAATAAATATTCTCTATACCTGACTTGGCGCACCGAATTTGGAATATTAAGAGTTACTTTAGTGGTTCATTAAGTCCTATTCAACCAAGAAGTGAAATTAAATAAGTAGTTTAAAAAAGGGTGCAAGTATCGAACGATACCACGTCAGTAATCGATACCGATACCGCTGTTTGTGGTGTCGCTGGTATCGAATACTGAGTACTCGGTATCGCCCATCACTACTCATGTTGCTGATGAGCCTGATTTTGCCTCGGACGCAATTTTTCACTTTTGGAAAGTAAGTATCTTTTGAAAAGAAATTTCAAAAGACACGCAGACCAATTAACTGAAGAGGTCATAGCGCTTCTAAATATTTGAAAAACTTAATCGAAAAATTGTGTCGTGTTGCCGAAAGAGTCCAGTGTTTTAACTGAAAAAAATCAAGATTTTGCAGAGTTCAACCACTTCAACTGACAATAGATTTTTTGCCTTAATTCTTAAAATGCATTTACATTATGATATAACATATGTATAACCTTAGCCTGCGGTTTTAAGGGGTTCAAGCGCGGGTTGGGTTGAACCCCAACCCTTAAGACCACCAACTACACACGTAAAAACGCACAAGTTGTAACAAACCTGCAGCAAACTTGTAGCAATATGCTGTTCCGACAACTTGTCAACAGGATGTGTTCGCACTGCTTGTTCCCAGCTTGGTGACAAGTTGTCAACGGCTTGTTGACAACTTGCTACAAGGTTGTTGAGCTTAACAGACTTGTTACAGGTTGTTCCAACAACTTGTTATCGTCCTGCAGTTCAACAATTTGTCAACAAGTTGTGAGTGACAACCTTGTAGTAACTTGACAAAATAATAACATTGTTACAACTTGTTGACAAGCTTGCTACAAGCCTGTTGCGAACACATCTTGTTGACAAGTTGTGAGATTTTACGCGTGTACCCCGGCTAGTAAATCTAGGCTGCTGCTGCGCGGGAAGTTGTAAATGTGTGGTGTTATTAATAATTTATTTGTAACATGAAACCCAAAGAACCGAATAAATTTAATGGTGAATTTTGATTTTTATTTATTATCAAATAATGGTCTATGCTATGTGTTTTGACTAAGTATGTACTGTTCAAACTCATACTTTTATTAAGAAGCGTAAATTTAAAATAAACAAACAATAAAATCCTACTAAAAACAGCATACGATTTGTGGATGACAAAAATTTTAGCCCAGGCTAATACCTGCCATATTACATGTATACTTGTACCTGAAATAAATGGCTTGGGCATGGTTAACCGGAATGAAATTCAGCCCTAGTTGAGAAAGTGAAAAAGAAAGTAATGTTAATTCTTTTCATCAGTTGTCTCGTACTTGGGCGAATAAATTTTTATCCCCGTAAAATGTCATTACGAAACATCTGGTTGCACGGTCAGGTTATTGTTGATTTATTACGGCTCAACAAACACAATACAAATGGAACTGAACTATATTTTTACTATACTCTATAGTCATTATTTACATCAAACAAGAACAGCTCAATATAAGAATATATAATTATGCCCTATCAAAGAATTTGAAATACAAGTAAACATGTTTTGGTAGAAAAAAGTGAAAGTCAATAATTCCTAATTTCTTTGAACACAAGGAATCGTTCACATAATTTATAGATTGGAACAAGATTGGTCGCGATATTTACTCATCAAAATGTAAACAGGAACTTTGGTCATCGGTGAAGCGGAAAACGATTGAACAAGCGTGGTCTATTTATAATGTATTACTTGGAAAAACAGTGTGAGTTCCTTGGAATTCGGCATCGTGTAATTTATAATTTCATTTCACTTGAAGCCGTTTTACCTGCAACTGTTGTGTTCCTGTCTTTTGGGATACACCGGCAGAATATCATGTTTCGTTTTTATCGTGGGATTTTTATCCTCGTGTTATTTTATATTGTGCCAATATATTCAACAGACGGTATGTGTAAATTTTTCATTTCAACTATAATATAATGATTAACGGCTTGAGATGGTAGACAGTGAAGAATTCAGAATTATGTCTCCATGACCATGTGTAAGGAACTAAGGAACTACCAACTGACTCAGTACATACACGTACGTTGAAGTTGTCAATAGCTTAGCACCGTGTTTGTATGTTAAAGTATTATTTTGTGCCACAATATGTTACTATTACTGTTCGAACAGTATGGTCAAATTATTATATCAAAAGTGAAAATAAAGATTACATGCCGGCATTTACATTAATCATATATATATGTAAGTTTTACAAAGTTAATTTCGTACCGAAATAATAATTCGAGAAGGGAACTGGAATTGCTATTTGAACCACTGGAAATGGATTTGGCACCAGGATTTTTTACTAAATCCCATGATCAAGTTAGCAAATTAGTAGCCTGCGTGGCAGCCCTTCCCGCGCCTCGCCTCCCTAATTTTCGTTGCCCGCGCCTCAAACCCAACCCTTAAAACCGCCAGCTACGCAGGCTAGCAAATTAGCGGCTCGAGTGACCTCGATACAGACAAAATTTTGGCTTTGAGATTCAATATTTGAATAAACCCCTTTTATGCTGAAAGCGAGAGCCGAAGGCCCGTGGAAATTTTTAAATCTAGAGTCTCTGAAATGCCATTTCCTGGTCTTTGGGGAAGATTTGCCAGAATTCTGATAGTCAGAAAACAGCGTTTTAGTATGTCGAAATTTACAATTTACTGCATGAGTACTAAATGGGTGAATATATTGAATAAGTTGCAGGAAAGTATGGGTGTTATCTTCATTCTTTGCAGTTTGTCACGGATTAAATGATAAAGGTCTGCATGATTTTGAAAAAAGAATGATTATTAGCAAATTATTGGGGGGGGGGGGCTTCAGTCCCCCCCCCCAGCCTCCCCGGTTGCTACGGCCCTGTATCACCCTCATTGAAGTTTGGGTAAGACTAGGTAGGATAGTCCAAGCTGAGCTACAATCATGGCAAAGACTAATTGTGGACAGCGCGTGCGCAAATGAAAACATATGCAATGCACTCCCTTCTTCCCCCTTTCCATGTTGAAAAGCTAATATATTGGTTAAGCTAAAGCTTTGTGAAATACGGGGGGGCTCCAAATCTGCTGCCAACATGTCCATATCAACATTCATATTTTCGGTCCACATAATTTTTGCCAAGCTATTAGTAAAACACGGACTGCGGAGCAGGGAGCACACGGAATACGGAGCACACGAAGCACGGAGCACACGGAGTACGGAGCATGCAGTAAAAAAACCAAAATCCTTTATGATAAAATTTTTGTTATTATTAATAAAATTAATTAAGACGCTTGCTATGGCTAAGCGTTTACTCGAGGCTCGAGCTAAAGGAGTGTTTTTGCTGAAGCTTTTAGAAGCGGAGAGTTCAGTGTATTTGTAAGATATAGTATTCAGCGTATTCACATCAAGATTTACTTCGTACATTTCACATCGTACTCGTTTAAAGTGCATTATATTTACGAGTTAATCAGCGAGCTTACCCTGTGGCGTGGCGATATAGGCGTCACTTCCAAAGCGTGGTCAGTTGAGTTCGAATCCGTTGTTTTATTTTCAAATTTAAAAAAAACTTTTCATCTTTTTTTGAGTCTGATTTTAAGGTTAATAAGTCTTAGGATTTAATAGGATTTCGGATTGTTTATAGGTCTTAGGATTTAATAGGATTTCGGATTATTTTTGTTATTAGGATTTTGGGTTGTGCGTAGTGTGGTTTAATTTTTTTAAGAGAATATTTTTAACACTTTAGGACTAAATTTCCTGACTGCCGGGCAGGCAGGCGCGTACGTAGTATTTTGAAAAAACCGCCCGGCAGGCGCGTGTAGACTAGTATTTCGATTCCGATGGAATTATAAAGTTTGATAGTTCATACATGTGATGGATATTTTGAATATAAACTAGATCGAGTACACAAAATATGCGTACAATCGTTTAGTTTTGATCGACGGTACGCTTTATTGAAAGCGTACAGCCGTTTACTTTTGATTGAGTACGCTTAAAGAGCATACATTCACAAATATTTGATGGGTTACGCATATTAAAATGCACTATTATTACAGTTTTTGTAAGAGTACTGACAGTACAGTCGATAGATGTATGACAACCGAATGGCTTTTGGCAGTTTTGGCATCATATGTGTTTTTTAAAAGCGCAGCCCCACTAATTTCCTACTTCCCCAACGTGTAAAACGCGAAAAATCTTTATTAATAATAACAAAAATTTGTAATAGTAAACAATGGTTTTTCTACTGGTCTCTACGTACTATTTAAAAAACGAGCAGGAGTGTTTTATTAGGTTTAAAGCCACGAGCGCGCAGCGCGAGTGGCTTTAGACCTAATAAAACACGACACGTTTTAAATGGCTTCAAAAACGTTTGCATAATAAGTCAAATCTTTATATAAAAATCTTTATATAGTTTGCATAACAATGGTCTTTTGTTAAAGTGTTCTTTAGCTGGTATAAAGACGTATGCACGTGACTAATTTCTTACTCAAGATTGGATAATTGCTTCATGAATTATTAATGAGTTTTTGAATGCTCCATACTACGTGTGCTCCGTACTCCGTGTGCTCCGTGCTCCGTGTTTTACTAATAGCCTTTTTGCCATGATTGTAGCATTTCCTTTTAAAAACGTTGTCCAATCTGTAGCCTTGTAGAAAAATTGAAATCAAATTTTAATATATTTGTTAAGCCACAAATGCTAATTATGCTCTATATTGAAAGTTTCTAACTTTACTTCTTCTGATAAATATAGAATGCGCTGATATAAAAAACTGTACTTTCAATGATGGAAAATACACAGTGGGCAGCAAAAGCACAGGTATAGGACTGTAGCAGAAAATGAACAGCAAACAAACACACAAACACACAAACAACAACAACAACAACAACAACAACAACAACAACAACAACAACAGCAACAGCAACAGCAACAACAACAACAACAACAACAACAACGGCAACAACAACAACAACAACAACAACAACAACAGCAACAGCAACAACAACAACAACAACAACAGTGACAACAAGGGTCTAGTCTTAAATGTACATAATTATATTTCCAGATCCTCCAAGGATGGAACTCAAAACAACCAAACGAACTGTGTATCCGAAATCAACAATCGGCTTACACTGTGGACTGTGTCAGAGCAACCCAGCATCCACCATTGAATGGTTATTCAACGGAAAACCACTCATTTTCCAAGGAGCGAGAATGCACAAAACCTCGACTAAATGCCAAGAAACACTGTTTTTGTTGACAGCCTTAAGTGAAGATGAAGGCAATTACACTTGCGTGGCCAGGAACAAATACGGTGAAGCGAATTCGACCACAGAACTCAAAATTATTGGTAAATCTTACTTTAACCATTTAACAATATCAATAAGAATATTTCGATATTCTCAGCATGCTGATATCGAAACTCTTACTGCAATAATTTAATAGTTGCAGATCAAAAACGATTTATCTTTTGTTCTAGGCAGTGGTTGTTCAACTGAATGCGTTTTGACTGACGATGGAAGACGTAAAGTTGGCACTGGATTGGGTGAGAAACCAGCCTGAATTCAAATTCCTAAAAACTTGGTTGTGGAAACATGAAAATTGTGACGTTTCTTCGCCCATAGTTGGAAAGATAATTATTGCAACTATATGGGTGTCCGTGGTTTGTGTCTGAACCACCCGAAAATGATATCTCAAACGCGGAGGTCCACTGTAGGTAGTTGAATAAACTACCGTGGTTTGCGTCTGAACTACCTGAAAAAAAGGTTCAAACAGTTCGAAAACTGATGTGTTCCTAATAATCTTTTTCAGGCAGTTCCAACAGTCCATGATGTACTGTTATTGTCAACCTTTTCTCTTTATTTCAACAACAGGGCCACCAAAAATGAAAGTCGAGCGGATCTTTTATATCAACATTGTGACCAACAATATGGTAACGATATCATGTGGATTGTGTGAAAGTAATCCACCATCAACAGTGACATGGTTTCTCAATGGTATCCAACTCGATCTAAACAAAAATGGAATACGAGTAATTTCTGGTCAATGCGAAGAATCACTGTATTTTCAAGCCTTGAAAAATAGAGCAGGGAACTACACATGTATGGCTAAAAATGATTTGGGGCAAGCGAATTTCACGACGAAATTAAATGTTTGGGGTATGATATACTTGATATTATTCTCCAGTTTTGTTGGTTTTATGTTTTTTCATTAACCTACACATTGCTATGCGGTATATGCTGGTTTCACTCAAGTACTATTAGCACATAATCAGCAACCTGCAACCGTGATCAGAGTGAAGTTGTTAAAGTGCCCATGTCATGATTTGGGATTTTAAAAATTTTTATCATTGGTGCATTTTATGAAGAAATGCAATATATCTTTATAAGAAAATATACCATCTTCATAGGATTATCAGCCCTCAAAGTTACTGGATATGACATCAAACCGGGAATTTTATACGCTAGAAACAAAAGAAATCTAATTTGCAACTCCCAGTTTGATGTCATATCCGGTAACTTTGAGGCCTGATAATCCTGTGAAGATGGAATATTTTCTTTTAAAGATATATTACATTTCTTCATAAAATATACCAATGATTACAAATAATAAATTACACAAATTATGACACAGGCACTTTAATTCTTTTCGTTGTACGAACTACACTGAATGCGAGAGATTTTCAGCAAGAAAATTTAAGTACGTTTAGATTGAAAGAACTTCTTAAAATGTAGAACAAGACATTTTACAAAATTTTTATATCTTTCTTTGGTTCGACGATATTCCAGTTCGTTTGATATGTTAATCAGATGACGTTACAAGCTGGATGAACTTTTTGACAGGTCACAGGACCCACGTTTTTGCACGCTAGATTATTCAATTGAATCATCGATCATGATCGATATAGATCTGAATGATTTGATCTGGCGCGACTGCCGTCTTTGAAATTTATATTTTGCCAGCTTGTGACGTTATAGATGTATTTCATTTGCATATCAAACAAACTCAAATATCTTAAGAATGACAAGAGATAAAAAAGTTGTAAACAGACTTCTCTCTTCTCTCCAAACATACTTGAATTTCATTGCCTTTAAAGTGTTTTTGAGAAGAGGGAATGATGAGGAAACTCTATGAAAGCTTTGGAATGACTTGCATTTGGTGGGAAAATAAATTGAAACATGTAGCTTAATTTTTTGCTCCTGTCGGTGTGGGCAATTATTTTTGAAGTTAAAAGCACTATCTGCAGCCTTCATATTCATTTATTTCCCAACTATAGATAGCAATTTAAATAGACCAATGATTACTGTCAAGCTAGAAGCACAAACTGGTACCATTCACGGGAATGCAGTTAAAATTGGGTCACGACTTAATATTACTTGCACCATACTTACTCCGAACTGTGCAAAGTTGATTTGGTCGTGGAAGAAGAATGATCAATTGATCACACAAAATGAAACTCAGTACAGACAGGAAAATGGTATGAATCCATGTGCAAGAAAGCTAGTGATGATTGAGAAAGTGACGGCTGCTAGCACGGGAAAATACCAATGCAGTGCCGTGGGATGGCATAAGTTGCACTTGAAAGCCCCTAGTGATAATGATATTTTAATAAGCGCTGGTGAGTAATATACATTGCAGCCACAAAAGTACCACATGTCATTATCATTGCAGCCACAAATTAATACCACATGTCATTACTGCAGCCACAAAAGTACCACATGTCATTACCATTGCAGCCACAAAAGTACCACATGTCATTACCATTACCATTGCAACCACATTTCATTACCATTGCAACCACATGTCATTACCATTGCAGCCACAAAAGTACCACATGTCATTACCATTGCAACCACATTTCATTACCATTGCAACCACATGTCATTACCATTGCAGCCACAAATGTACCACATGTCATTACCATTGCAACCACATGTCATTACCATTGCAGCCACAAAAGTACCACATGTCATTACCATTGCAACCACATGTCATTACCATTGCAACCACATGTCATTACCATTGCAACCACATGTCATTACCATTGCAGTCACAAAAGTACCACATGTCATTACCATTGCAACCACATGTCATTACCATTGCAACCACATGTCATTACCATTGCAGCCACATGTCATTACCATTGACGCCACAGACGTACCACATGTCATTATCATTGCAGCCACAAAAGTACCACATGTCATTACCATTAAGTTGGTTAGATTTGCAACGTAATAAAGGGTCGGTTGGTGATACAGTGGTTAGTGGATGTACCTTTCAGGAGCCCCTGATTCCTGCAACATGCAGTCATGCTTACTTATTTGTCTGCGTGATTATAATTTCGCCTCGTTTGCATGTAAGAAGAGTGCTTCCAGTGTAACTGTACCAAAAACAACAGGTTTTCTCTGGGTACGTACTCTGACTTCTTCCTGTGGTAACAAATAACAGATGGCTCTTACTGCACTTCTAGAACAGGTTAGAACTGATAGAGCTATTTTAGTTTGGGTTTCTTCCTATGGTAACACTAGATCAACAAGGGATAGTCTTGTCCTGTCCTGTCCAGTCTTGTCCTGGCAGACATTTCCATTCGAAATACTACGTTTCCCCTCGTATAACACTGGAGGAACAAGGTATGGACCTTTTGGGACCTCTGGGGAGAACAGTTTAGAACTGATAGAGCTTTCTTAGTAAGGATAGAATTAACTTAGAACGTGTTCACCATATTATTCTGTCTGTATCTTTCCAGTTCCCTGCTTTAGAGGTTTCTACTGTCCACAGAAACTTCAAGAAGCTAAACGTTGCCCAAACGGTACATTTAGCATGCAACAGGATGCCACAAACCTCACACAGTGTGAGCTATGTCCAACTAAAGCAAGAAACAAAACTTTGTTGGCCAAAAATCCAGAAGTAGCGAGCATTTTTAGGATAAACTGTCCATATTACACAGGTATGATGCTGCCTTCTTCACGGGATGAATGCCCATTTGACTTCTGTTGGATAGTCTTTATATATCATACTTGATCATTTGAACGAACTTGGGCAAAGAGTTTGTCTGATATATCAACCGTTTTATATCATTGTTTCAGTTCCAGAAACGTCAGATAACCATTCAGGTTTATCTCATGGTGAGATAGCGTCCATTGCTGGGTCATTGATAGCATTGGTTATGTTGGTTATTCTGGCAATATTATATGGTATGCGGAACTGTCGGGATTACAAGAAATTGATTTACCGCCCGCAAAAAGACATTCAAATAGGTAAGTTCATTCTTTATTTATTTATTTGTACTGGATATTCTCCATTATCAGTTTTAAAATACCCTACTTAGAGGTTCAGCAAAAGTCATACTACAGGAAGAAATCTAAACCAAACTAAATTTAATTATACTAGACAGCTCTAACAGTTCTACACTGTTCTTCCTTTAGTGACCTTTAGTCCATATGCTTTAGGCCAGTAAAGGTCATCCTGAATTGGTGGGGAAATCAAGGTGATTTGTGGTGTTTGATTCAGTCTAAAAAGGAGCATACGGCCAAAGCAAAATTATAATCAGACAACTGTTGCAGGTACACAGAATAGAGACTATACAGAAGCCCAGCTTCTTGGTTTTTCCTATCTTTTTGGCCTAACCGTAATTCGTCATCAAAATGCGGACGCCATGTTCCTAGCCAGTGCGCTTATACTGAGGCATTCATCCCCATGATAACATACACAATGGCGGACGTCCAGGGGGGATGCCTCTCACACTGGCCTCTCATAAGCGCACTGGCTAGGACCGTGGCGTCAGAATTTTGATGACGAATCATGGCGTGGCAGCGGTTACGCTTTTCTGGCTGAGTCGACCTTCTGTGTGTCTTTATTCTGTGGCAGGAAGTTAAATCCCGGATACTTGGACCTCTTGATTATTTTAAAAATTCATTGATCAATCTTTCCTAGAAATACCGGATGTCCCTCAATCGGCAGACGTTTTCGTCTGCTACAGTTCCAAGAATCGAGAATGGGTGCACGGTACGCTCTTTTCAAACCTGCGAGCACAGCATTTCGAAACGTTTATCGATTTCATTGACTTCGAAATTGGCGTTCCCATCCATCAAAATATAGTAAACGGCATTTACGGCAGTAGAAAGACAATATTCGTGTTGTCAAAGGACTCTTTGAAGAGTTACTATGCCCGTACAGAGCTCAGTCAGGCCCTGGCTGCAGGCAGGCAGACTGGACATCAAGTGATCGTAATTCTGTATGAGAAATGCAAGGTTCCTGAGGAGATTTCAAATATTGTGTACCTTGACTGGACGGATGAAGAAAAGAGAGATCACTTCTGGGAGAAGTTGTATGATGCTGTACGAAAACCACTAAAAAGTGAAGTGGCGGTTTAAAGTTTTACGCCTGTATTCAAGCTTCCCTTGCGTGTCAGTGCTGTTTTTGGAATAGCTTGAGGGTGAGTAGTCACATAGTAAGGTACGACACTAACCCCCAGCTACACAAAAACAGTGTTGACACTCAAGGAAAACTCAGATTGAACCTCCACTCTTTGAGTGTGAGTGAGCTTTTAGAATACAGAACATATAAGACGGACCACAATTCTGCAAACACCTGGCGAATTGGAAAACAAAGTATTGGAGTTATACAAGATATCAGAACGGACAAGAATTCGTAAAAACAATGAATACCTGACAATTAGAAACTTGGAAAGTGTTGGGTTCTATAATGGACCATAATTGTGCAATACTACATAAGAATGGCGATTATACAGACATTGCAAAGCAAGGATCACAAGACGAACTATAATTGTAAGACAAACTGTGAAAATAGAAAGATTTTCCGACGTATTGGAGTTCCTCAAGGATCTTAAGATAGACCGCCTTTCATAAACTGTAGTATAAGCGTATGTAAATATTTTTTATTCTTTATTATGGCCATTAAGGTCTCGTCTAAGCCTTGTGCTGCATTGTAAATAGTATCTATTATATGATCGTACACGAATAACTATTAAAAATCAAAAAAAGAAAATTATAGTCAGAGCTTCATTTATAAATTATCGTTGAATCAGTAGAACCCCAGCACGGAAAGTCGGCAACGACGGCAATTTGTTATTTCACTTTTGAAAAGGACACGGAAATTGGTGAGTGGAAAAAGTCTGTAATTTCTCATTCCAAGGCATAGTATTTTTTTTCTTTGAGTGTGAATTCTATCATACGGATAATCAGTGTATATATATTAAATCTAGGGGCGGTTATTTAAAGCTGGATTAGCGCTAATCCTGCATGTTTTTATTTTAACCTGCTGTTTTAGTTTACGTATTTCTGCATGTCCGGTTATTTCAAAACTTAAGAGAGGAAAACACCTACTGATCCAGACAATATTTCTAAAGAAACATTTCCAAATTTATAAACAAGTTGTTAGGAAGTTTGCTTTGAAATTTATTTTAACCTAAGGTTGATCTAAACGGCTGCCCCATGGATAATATGGAAAGGATTGCCCTGACAAATCATCCAAACCACTAAAACCCGTTCTGAAGTGAATTGTTGCATAATTTTTACTGCCCAAATTCTTCAATTCTGAGCTTAGAAGATGAGCAGGAAATGGCAAGTCTCGGCCTGACTCGATTTTCAAAACCCTTTCAGCCCCTTTCAGAGAGTTTCAGAGGGTTTCAGCTTTCAAAACTTTAAATATCTTTCTATACTTCACTCTTTGCATTCATGCACAACTATCTTTATGTTGATAGTCCCAGTAAAGCTTTAACACGGGTGTTTTTATATAAAAAAACGCTATTACAAAATTATGAAGATTTTAGATTACAAACAAGTCGCAGCAGGTAAAGCAGCTCGGCTCGCCACGGTAAATTAAACAGGAACTTCAATTGAGGAGACCTTTGACATTGAGGAATGCAATCATTTCATCATCGGTCACTTAAATTAAAGTTGAAGTGTTCCTGTTTATAATAACAATTAATCCAATAATGTTTCACTTCAATGCAGCTCAAATCAAAAGATTTGATGAACGGTTTGCAACAACTTTGCTGTTACACAAGAGTTGATATCCATTTTAACCTATAACTTGCTTCGATTCTGGCCTGGAACTACTCGTACGTGTTTTCATAGTCTAGCATTACCAGGAATTCGTTGCGGTTTAAGCGAAATTAATCTATTTTAAGAGTTTTGACCAGTCGTCATTTGCATACGACAAGTTCCTAAAGTTATGAAATTTATAGTCACTTTTACGCGACATGTAGACATGCTCAATTTTTCGGAACTGGTTGCCATAATTTTGATCATCATGCTGGCAGATGCTGCTACTGGTAAGTCAATTTCGTGCTTTCAATTGATACTTTAAACCAGGGGTTGTAAGATTCTTGTGCATGGGCTTATAGTCCATGCCATGAGTCGCACAATTCATGTATGGTATATAAACATACTACAATGGCACAGACAGGGGTTGATGTTTTATGGGATTATTTACTATCTTGTTTCTCTGTTCCTTGCTTTAATTTACACCATAACGGGCAACTAAAATTCTGATATCGCGGTTTTCATACCCTGACTTTATTGTAGCAAACAACTCAGCGGGATATTATTACCATTTTATTAGTGTATTCAACTTCTAATTATTAATCTCGCTGGGGTGTTGGTGCCAGCACGACTGTTGTTCAAATTAAAATTATGCACTTTGCAGTTGTCTTCTTCTTAAAGCCCTGTTTACATTGGCAATTTTTGTTGCGATTTACAGTGCGATTTTCTTCGAGTACATAAGAAATGATTGTTCTGAGTACATTTGAGTACAATATATGTGCCCTCATCTAGACATTCATAACCCATGAGGCAAAAATTGCTGAATCCTTAAGCTCTTTCAAATCGATATTGAAACAAAGAATGAGTTGAAATTTGCTTGTGCGTAATCGTGCAGCTAAAATCACTTGTATTTTTTTTTGTTATATTTTGTATTTCTTGTATACAGTTAATTTTTTGTAAATAGGTAATTTCACGCCGCTCATGGAAACCAGCCTTCCAACGGCTGTTGAGGCTAGCGTGGTTTAAATAAAGTTTTGTATGTATTCATACAATAGAAGAAGAAAATCGCAGCAAACAATTTCAAGTGTATAGGGGCATTTAAATAATTTCACCCCAGTCACATACGAGACGTTTGACTCACCAAACACGCAATGATATCAAAGCGATTTTGGAGGCCGGTTCCTTGCCGGACTTCTTGTGGAGTGCCCACCCACACTTGCACAAAATGTCAAAAACTGACTTGGGCTACGTCCAAACTAATGCGTTTTCGTAGCGTTTTCATATTCAATTGAAGAAAATATATAACAGTGATCTAATTAACTGAAACAATACAAAACGCTATACGAAAACGGATTATCGTTGAATGAATTAACCGAATTAGGGGGTAGTGACATTAGAATCATTAGATTAAGAAGAGATACCCGTTACTGGACGTCGAGGGAGAACATTTTTGGAAGAACTCGATCTTCTCACATGTCATTGAACCGTGAAATTATAACCAGACTACTGCAGCAAACCAAACAGCGGTCACAAAGGCGAAAGATACAATGTAAAAATCTCACAACTTGTCAACAAGATGTGTTCGAATTCGCAACAGGCTTGTAGCAAGTTTCTCAACAAATCAACAACTCATACTGTTATTTTATCAAGTTGTTACAAGGTTGTCACTCACAACTTGTTAACAAGTTGTTGAATTGCAGGACAATAACAAGTTGTTGAAACAACTAGTAATAAGCCGTTGACAACTTGTCAACAAGCTGGGAACAAGCAGGACGAACATATCCTGTTGACAAGTTGTTGGAACAAGTCTGTTGCAGGTTTGTTACAACTTGTGCGTTTTTACGTGTGTATATCTACACCCAATCAGAGCCATCATTATTATCATAATTACCATGACAATTGCCATCACCATCAACACCATATCACTTTATTTTCAACCATGTATCAACCATTTGGACACCAACACCCCTAATAAAGCAAATAACATGGTATTATAACCTTAACTCTTAAGGCAGTAAAACCACGAGTGATATCAAATTGGAAGGAAGCATATCAGAGCACGATGTCGTTATTGGCTCGAACGTGAATCTAACATGCGCGGCTTTTTGGTCACCAAAAAAATCATGTAATATAATGTGGATAAAAAATTCCAAACGCTTGGACGAAAAAATGAAACATGGTCGACTCCAGTGGCTGCTTGGGAAACAAATTAGTTTCACGCGTCGATGTTCTGTGGCAAAATTTATGATACGAAATTTCAGTTCCAATGATGCAGGAAAATACGAGTGTTTAAGTATAGACAAAATTACGTCGTTTCAAACGGATTCAGAAGAAGGTTCTATTATTCAAATTAATGCTGGTAGGTGTGCTTCGTTATGACGCCCATGATAAAGTAGGCGCCCAGTATTCGATCACATCGTCCATGGAAAAACATATAGTTCGGCCAGCTGCCGGCTGTACGAACAGCGTCGGAAATCCTGGGTGGCGGGTTTGTGGTGTGACACACCCACCCAATGTTTGAAATTAGCAATAGTAGAGCAAATATTCAATAATTCGTTGGCCAAAAAAAAAGATTCAAATCATGTTGAGTACGAACAAAATAATGTAGAGGTCCAATATACGTCGACCTATAACCCTAACCCCTAACTAGAGGACCCAACCCTAACCCCTAACTAGTGGACCTAACCATAACCCCTAACTAGTGGACGTAACCCTAACCAGTTGACCTAGGAAAGGCCCATCGCTTGAAACGTCGAAGTTCTCCTTGCATTTTTCAGGTAGTTGTATTCCTATTAACCCGCAGCTGACCCAACCCTAACCTCCTTAATCTATGACTCCATCAGTTTGTCGTGTTGAGCAAGAGATCATGTGAATTCTCGATAACTTCACATTATTAAATATGCACATTTGTTTATTTTAGTGACTTGCTATCAAGGTTTTTATTGTCCTAAAACAAAAACAAAAAGTGTGCCAAAACGTTGCCCGACTGGAACATTTTCTCTCTACAAGAATGCTACGTCCATCAAAGACTGTTTGCCATGCCCCGCTGATAAGAGTAAGCGTGAACATTGGAAAAGGAGGATGGAGACTAAGATCGTTGCAATGTTTCAAACTAACTGCCATTCAAGCTCACTCATTCAAGGTGAGTCACACCGATCAGGCATTAATGAATAAGGATTTTATACTTTTCCAAAGTCTCAATAGATTTCTGTTAACGTTCGTAGTGCGGTTTATGTGGGACAATTCATTACCAGAAAAATATATGGCTGCAGACAGCAGCGTAGGAAAACTCAAGTTCAGTAATTTTTTGGGAGAGGAACAAAGTAAAGGTTGTCATTATAGTGCCAGAGAATATTCTGGAAATCCGGCTAAACTCTCTTTACTTTAGTTTGTCAACTCTATTTCACTGCCATATATATCATAGCCATTTTTTCAAGCTTTCTATAAATTGTTGATTGGTATATAACACAGATTAAACTTTTGTTGGGAAGTCCATGCATATCCGTAGTTTCATAGCTTGTCAAGCAATTTTACAACGGTTCAAAATATTGCACTTGCAATAACCATTTCTTGTTATATCCGGCATTCGCACTAACGGCCTATGGTGTATAAAGATAATTCAAATCATCCAGAACTAGTTTTTTATTTTAACTTATTTGTTTTCACAGGGAAAACGTCCAATTTATCTTCGGGTGCGAAAGTTGCCATTATTGTGTTACCAGCCATAGCTACATTGGTGTTTGTCATGGGGGTTTTGTACGCTTTTCGCAGAAGGAAAGCGATGATAAAATATCGCGAGAAATTACTTAATTCATTCAAAGACGTCGATTATGGTAAGTTTGAGTTACAGTAATGCAGTCTTGCCCCTCGTTTTCATGGGGTTATTTCCTGTTTCTTGAGGGTTACAGATCAAGAAGAAACATGATATTTGTGCAACAAATCGAGTATAAGGTCTATTAAAAAAGGTCTCTGAGGGTTAAGCTTAGCAATCGATTGATCAATTAAAAACAATCAATCGACCTATCCAGTCTCCATAAATTAATCCATATCTTTCTTCTCTTGTTATAGATCCACTCAAAGTACCGCGATCAAAAGACGTGTTTGTATGCTACAGTTCCAAGAATCGTGAGTGGGTACATGAAATTCTGTTTCCAAAACTAAAATCCCAAAATTTTAAAGTATTCATTGATTTTGTTGACTTTGAAATTGGTAAAACGATAGATGATAATATTGTCAAAGGCATTTATGGAAGTAGGAAGACTTTGTTTATATTATCAAAAGACTCCTTGAAAAGTTTGTACGCTCGCAAGGAGTTGTATCACGCGTTAGCGGCAGGAAAGACCGGTCATCAAGTTTTGGTCATATTGTACGAGAAATGTAAAGCGCCTGCAGAGATTGCGGGCATTGTGTATCTGGACTGGACGGATGAGAAGAATAGAGACAGATTTTGGGAAAGACTTTATAATGCTATCAGAAGACCATTGCCAAACGAAACTGTCCACGTTTAGTTTGGTGATCAAGGTTGATAGTCGTCAAACTGTTGTCGAGAGGAAGTGCACGTACTTTATTTGCTGTAAATAGTGTCCAACGTATTAGTCCAGTTAGCTTCAATTTTTGTTAAAAAGAATAGACATAATGAAATAACGCATGTTCATGCTCGCTGCCATCCAATTTTAAAATATTTTAGGGATAACAAAGATCCATCATCCACGCCTAGAGCGCTTTCCATTGACACGGCTAGACCGGTCAGACCGATCAAATTGTTGAATGGAACACAAAACGTTTGGGCTTCGGACCTATCTGACCGGAAAATTTAGATAACATTTGAATGATGTCCATTTTCGCTAGATATTTGAGAAACATAGATCAGATCTTTCCATTGATACAGAGAAAAGAATTTGGGTCTGACCGGTCTGGCCATTAAATGGAAAGCGCCCTAGTTAGCATATACGAATGATCCAAGGTAACCAAACATTTCAATGATTTATTTGTCGGAGTGAATTGGGCGGTAATACTGGCCAGAAACACGGTTAATTAACTATAAATGAGATTCATAGTGAGATTCATAATATTCAAGAAAAAATGAAAAATTAATATGCCACGGGAGTTTGAGACGTCGTCCACGATCTATTTACAACGGGAGACTACAGACTTTTACGTCTTGCCAGTCTTGGATGAAAGAAGATGCGAAAAGTGATACTCGGCAAATTAGCTCAGCACCGTACAGTAGAACTTTTCTCAACAATAAAGCCACTATTTTCAAGCTAACCAAACAGTATTAAATTGATACGATCAATAATAGTCTAGAAACATTCTTTACAATCGTTTATTTGAATGATTTTATTCTGGCCCTCGTCGTTGCGTTGTCGTCCTACATCTAACCCGCGAACGGGCATATTCTCCCGCACCAAAATATAACGAGGGACTGTGGAAGAGTCAGGTCCTACATCGTAAGGTCTCTAGTCACGTACACAAAAGCGAGGCTCTATAGCCAAAGTGACGTACTTTCCGGTGAAGTTCACACAGCCACAGAATAAAGACATACAGAAGTGTAACTTCCATTACAAAACCGTAAGGCGCTTTTTTACCGAAATAGCTGGCGGCCATGTTCTTAGCAAGTGCCCTAAAGAGAGGCATTCACCCCCTGGAATATTACATTTTCAATATGTTTTCAGGGGGGTGACTGCCTCTCTTTAGAGCACTTGCTAAGAACATGGCAGACTGAAAAAATCCCTTACGCACTTTTAATAAGAAGATACACTTCTGTATGTCTTTATTCTGTGTTTCAGGTCACAAAAATCCGTCATTTCATGGAAGCAAATAAGCATGTTGTATCAAAACATAGACTGCCTATCTCAGTAAAAGTTATTATTAATAGAAGATTTGTAATATTCACTAATATACAGCAAGCCTTAAAATATCTTTTACAGGGCTGTCTGACAAAATGTCCAATGACTTTGAGTTTGGGTCGGACATATTACATAGATGTATGATGATGTCCTTCAGTTCAGTTTGGCTCGGAAATAAGTCTGAATGACACAAATTAATATCAGCACAATGTATTAATTGATTCTGAACGGTAAATGTTGTGAAGACATTAAATAATTTGTGTCATTCATACTTGTTTCCAAGCCAATATTAACTTGCTTGCCAAGAACAGCAATAAGACTTCGACAACTTAATCCCGTTTTCCACTCCACGATATCGCTCACATTATTCTGATTCTCCATTTAACATACGAGCCTCTAGTCCTGGACTAGGGTACATTTTTATTTACGTTGGACAAAGCTACAAAAATCGGTCGGACACCAATACACTCGAATCGGACAAACAATAAACCTCGGTTTCAATTAGGTCGGACAGAATGTCCGGTGGTTTCTTTCTACGTCGGACAATTTCACGAAAGGGTCGGACAATGGACCGACCGATATTTTAAAGCCTGTAATCAGTTACGTGTGTTCTTTAATATTTTTTTCAGAATGCAGAACCTAGAGGTGTATTAAAGGTGACTTTTGTTAACTACGTCAACCCAAATAAAGGAGATTACAATGGTGGTTGCTGTGATCCATTTCCGTTCTACTGTGATGACTGCGATACATATTTTGAAATCTGTTTGCAATCGACATACACCCCTGTGGCCAAGATGGACAAATGCATAAAATTTGTGAGAACTAAAATGCGCGAAGACGACAATTTCAAATTCGATGCTACGTTTGGCTCGAAAGGTGAAAAAAATCCGTTGGAGTACCATTTTGATGATTCGTGGCAGGTTTGTGATTTATATTTATTATAACTTCGATGAATTTACACTACAGTTCATTTTCACAAGATGTTTGACGTCAAGTCAATTACTCATATATTTACTCCGCGTAGCAAGTCACAATTCACAAGGCACAAAAATTGCGACTCCAGTCCACAACTTTGATATACCCTTTACCTCCCTTCCCCCCCCAATGGTATTGCAATGTTAGCTTTAGTAGAAGTTTCAGATTTTGGATGAAATAACTATTATATCGTTTTAATCCATTGCTATTTGACAAATCAAAATAACCAACCGATTGCGTTGAAGAATCACTTAAGGTGGCAACACCAATATTCTAACTTGTCTAAATATGCAAATTAGATAAAATAATATGATTTTTTATAAGATTAAAACATTCAAATTACAGTAGTTACTTTCGATCATGTTGATCATTTGAAAGTTGTATCTTAAAAATTCAATATTGTTCATGTCTCTTACAACAATAATTTTTTTGCTCGTAAATGACTCTTTACCGGCAGGATTCCGTCCGCAAACCAGAAATTTGAGGGTATTAATTTTTCACTTTTCTGCCAAAGCTTCAGGCTCGTTTTAAACAATATTTACATCAAATGAAAAAAAAATAAGAATACACAGGTGCATGGGAAACCTCTTTAAACATGGGCACTTTTAAAAGTCTGAAATATTTTGACCTAATTTCTATAATTCGAATAAAGTTGAAATATTGGTGTCGCCACCTTAAGTGAATCTAGAAGGCAAATAGTTGCTTATTTTGATAAGTCAAATATCAATGGATTAAAACGATACGATAATGATTTTATCTAGTACTAAAAATCTGAAACTTCTATTAGGGGTGAGCCCATACCAGAAAAAAGCCGATTCGCCGATCCGATATATCGGAGCCGATATAAAAAAATAATCGGCCGATATTTCTGTGTAAAAGTTGAATAAAAGTTTAAAACCCGGTACAAGCGCCGGATAACGGTTTTTTGACAACTTTTAATACTTGTGTATACGCCACAAATTGACGTACTAGTTTTAGTGTGTTCCGGGAAATATTTACTCATATTGGACAGTTATCCGTCACTGTACGAATCAAATGAATCAAACGTAAAAATATAAATGTATAATTGGAATTCACTCTATTCAATATAATTTTAACTTACAAGTGGTCTTATTCCCTCGAGTAACGCAATATGGGATTAAATACGCGCAACAAAAGTGTCAAAAACAAGACGGAGTGTAGATTACTAGATTATAGAGTTATTTTTCTTAAAAAGACGAAAAAATTGCGAATATCGGCAAATAGCCGATTATAAAAAATTATCGGCCGATTACCGATTATTTTGAAAACGCAAAATATCGGCCGATTTATCGGTCGTACCGATTAATCGGCTCATCCCTAACTTCTATCAAAACTGACGTTGTAATACCACAAAACATAGTGGGGCATTTTTTTGGGGACACCCTGTATAATGTAACTAAAATTTGCCAGATTTGTCTATATGAATATTTCCTAAGCATCATTCAGTATGCATGTGAACAATGTTTCGATGATTATCGTATGTGTGTTTCTCCCAACAGGGCACGTTTAGTATATACATGGAAGTTTGGGATAACGATGGCGGGAATCTTTTTGGAGTGGGAAGTGCAAGAGACTTAATTGATAAAGTTTATGGAAAATATCAATATCTTGCCGCTGGTTCGGACTCAAGTAGGCCCAGAGTATACCCAAAAACTGTAAGTAACTTGTGTTTTACCGCTAACCATCCCAACAGTGCCGAAATGAGTAGGTGTACGTATGTTGTATTAATGCCCCTGTAATTCAATTTGATCAAAGCAAAACTTATACGGTGTAAATAAGCCACTAGTTAGGATCGAAAGATTTGCCGTTCAGAAAAAATGTGGTGCTTTCCGCACGTAAATCCCCCTCTCGAATACCCTTCACTTTTAAGCCTCTGTCTAGGGGCAGAAATTTACCAAGTTCCCTCTATACCTATACTGGATAGTGATTTTTCAACTTGCAAGAAGCCTGTGAGAAATATGTATAAAATTCTGATATATAATAAATATATAAGAATTTAGTTCCTAATTAGAGGGCACTTATTTAGCTCTTTACAGCCCATAAAAGTAATACAGACTTTTGTAAATTTCTTATCGAATTTTTATCCAAATTGAACCAATTAGTGGATTTAGTTGGAAATATTTAATCTGGGCTATCGTTAAATGACTTTGAAACCATTTCCAGACAAACAAAACGTAAGATCAACCCCGTTCCCAGGCTTTTCCCTCTTGTGCGTGAGACACACTTTCCGAAATATTATTTGTTACATTTCCCGAATGGTAAATCGTGAAAACCATGTTTAATTATTTACCACTTATTGTATTTTTAATTTTTTCTATTGGAATATAAGGCACTCATAAGACCGCATTTTACCCCCTGACCCGCATTTTCCCTTCATATCCGCATTTCCCCCTCATGTCCGTCTGTCCGCATCCGCGAATTACCTTAACCCGTACTTCTTGTCTTTTGGCCTTTTGTGTAGTTGACTGGTTCAAGAAGTGGCCTTGGCGTCTTTAGCCCCACGTCAACAGCAATAACCCTAAGCCTACACTGTGATCCACATTATTACGATGGCTACTGTTCGCAGTATTGCAAGGCTCAGGACAGCGTCGCAGCCGGACATTACACGTGTGACTCTCGTGGACGAAAAATATGCAGGAAAGGATGGCAAGGCACAGATTGCAAGGAACGTAAGTCTGAATACAATATTATGATCTAGAAAACCATAGGCGTACGAGGCAGGGGGGAGGGCTGGCTGGGGGGAGGGCTGGCTGGGGGGACTGCAGCCCCCCAAATTTTTGCAAAGTCTATTTTTGGTTGACCGTCAAGCAAAATAAATTTGGAGCGAGGGGAGGGTCACAAGACGTCCGGCAAAAGGCGACCGCCCCCCTAAAATTTTGTCGCTCGTACGCCCGTGTAGAAAACAAAAATAGCTTGAGGTGAGCATATAATGAAAAATTGTTTCGTTTAATAATAAAAATGGTTCACTGAAGGGCTTGAATCCGGGTTTTTCCATTAATTTTAGTTTATTGTACGATCATCCAGATTAA